GTCCTCCATTTCAGATTCATAGCTCCGATAGTCAAAAGCAGAATTAAAATAAAGCATCATGAAATGCAGACCATTAAGATTCAGTGGGTCATCAAGCTCAGCAGTTCTAGTTTTGTTGTTGCAAAGCCGCCATGAAGGTTGGAGGCTGAGCATTGGAAGCTCTTTTCTATTATTTCAAGAATTTATTACAAATGTTCAACTTTAAACCTAAAGTGTGCAAGGCTGTGAATACATAATAAATGTGAATTTTCCCTCATTTACATGAATTTTATTTCTTAACCATAATGTTTTTTTATGTAATTGGTATTGTAATTTAATCTTGTGATTTTATACTTGTGTTTATTTTTAAGGTTGCCTTTTTAATACCTGGCTGGGGGACTACCGATGAAAATTAGCACTACTTAGCTAACTCGGGTATATTTACATTGTTTTAATGTTGATTAATGTAAACAAATAAAACAATAAACAATAAATGAAATTAAATTTATTAAAATGGCCAGATGGGTAGAACGTTGGCAAAAACTGTCGTAGGAAATGCTGTCTGCAAAATTTTTACTTTTCAACATAATCAGGGAAATTTCAATGTTTCTGTTTGTACTATTGTTGCTTGAAGGCTTTTTAGAGGTTTTATTCAGATTCTGTAGCCCAAGAATGATGTGATTTTCTTGTAAAAGCTCTTTGTCTCCATTTCTTCCAGTCTGAATATCTCTTCACACATGCTGCTGTTTCTCCTCTGTCTCCTCGTCCCGCCGTCGTCCTCGACTCCCCACCATGAGTCAGGTACACACTTCTTTACTCTTCCTGTCAGCTTTATGTCCTCCATCTTGCTCCTGTGATATTATTAAACCCATTGAGTCTGAGATAATAGAAGCCCATGGTGTGTTTGTTGAGGTTTGTGTTGTGAAGGTCGTCTCTTAATGGTTAAATAGGAAGAGCTTTTTTCACAGACCCAGATCTGTAAACATTCAGTTAGTAGTTTGACTTTCTTGCAGATTTTTTCTTTAACTTCTTGTAGGTTTTTCTGTCTGTGATGTTTGACGTTATGTGGACTTTAAGATCCTGTGATCCTTCCCCTTCAGTAGGTGTGCTGTTGAAAATTATTTCTCTTTCAGGATTAGAATCAGTTAACATTTATGACAATGGCTGACAGACCAGCCCTTTTTTCGTTCCCAAAGGAATACAAATCTTTTCTTCTCTGGGGCTCAATTTTTCAAAGACTCTCGTACCGTCTTGCATATTTTCAAAAAGATGAGAAGTTTTTAATACTTTCTGTTTGGTTATTTTTTAAGGTACAGAAAAAAAGAAAACTTAACAAATAAAAAATTTCCACTCCTCAGATGATTCCAAGCTTCTCCAGATCACCATCCCCAGCTCTCCACCCGTGAACGCCGTGTTGGGGGGTTCACTCACCTTGCCCTGCCTGGTGTCGTTAGCCCACCCGCCGCCGTCCCCTTCCACTAACGGGCGCTACGCCGTGTTGTCCGTGCCCCGGGTCAAATGGAGCGTTCTCAGTGACGGAGAAGAGAAGGAGATCCTGGTGGCCCGGGGCGATAAGGTCAGAGTCAGCGAGGCCTACAAAGAAAGAGCCTCGCTGCTTAACTACGCCTACTCCCCTGCAGACCTCACCCTGCGGCTGGAGAGCCTGAGGAAGAACGACAGCGGCTTCTATCGCTGCGAGGTGCAGCAGGGGCTGGAGGACGCTGATGAAGTGGTCCATGTCAAGGTCAAGGGTGAGAAATAGAGAGATTTTTATTTTCTTTTAGTTTCAGCAGTTTGATATTTAAAAGTTATGATTTATGTTGCCTTGGAAACCCTGCCTAAAATATCTGTTTATATGGTGTAGGATTTTTTTACCGTGTTACCTTGTTTTTGAATAAAAAAAATAATAATTAATTACATCAATGTCATTAAAATTTTATTAAAATGCTACATATGTTACCCTTAATTAATTAATTAATGTCTGATTTTTTATATATTCCCTGAATCCACACTGCATCTAATAACATGTATTCTACCAAAATCACAGAAATCAGAGGCACACGCCATACAAATTAAAAACGTAATTCAAGCTGTCTGATAATAAGTTTCATAGAAAAAAGTAGACTTAAAAACTGTTTTTACGTTGTATTTCAAATTTGCTTTTTAATCCAGGTTAGAATCGTCCCGTTTTATGCTTTAGCAGGTCTGGGGCCTACTGGACAAAGCAGGTGCCTGTGAGATAGCAATACTAGTGAGGAACGTGTTCTTCAACCAATCAGATTTCAGATTTGCCCCATGGGGCCAGCTAGCGAGACCCCCCCCCATGTCAGCATTTTCTGTCCTCTGGTTGGTCATTGAGAGCAAAATGTTTACAGCCAAGTTAAGCTAGCTACAATCTGCATTTTAGATTCACTTTTTAAAAAAATTTTCTGGCCACAATTGCTGATAAATAATCAGCAACTCTGGTGAGTGTGATACATAATAATTTCATGCTTTATGTTTTATTTTATCTGATAATTAGATGCATATTGGTGCATCTAATTTCTTTAATTAAAATGTAAAAGTAGTCATATTAACCCCTTTACACCCATCGTTGCAAATATGCAAATACCCTTTGTATTACCAAGATAGCATTTGCATTCCCTCAGTGCCAGTTATTACACATTCAGTAAACAGGAATCTTTTACTAGCTCTTGTTTCTGTTTAAAGGAAAAGTCTGGTTATTTTCAGAATTCAAACTTCTGAAAGTACGTTAAATATGAAATTATTACATTCTATTCAATAAATGATAAGTGTTCTTATTTAAGAGTAATGTCATTTGAATGTGCTTTACTGGAGATATCCAGTAAAGCAGTTTGTGATGTCACGGTGCGGACGATACGATGAAGTTGCCTATTCAACGACAAACCAGTGGTGGAAATAACAAATATTTTTTTCACTTTTACCTGATGTATTAGAACATCCAACTGCCATGCATGTGGGTATTGTCAGTTTCACTATAGTTCTCTTGATTTTCAATGGTGAAGTCCTCGTAAATAACTTTTGTTGATTTCAGGGGTGTCTAGTAGTTCCCATTGACTTTG